ATAAAACGGTTTTCATCGTTTATAGAAGAGTTTAAAGAAGGAATATTCATGTATCAGCTCGGAACCAAACCTTTTATTAACATATTTAAGCCAAAATATTTGGAGGTAAATAAAGTCCATTTACTAACAGAAAATAACATCCGTTATATTTTTTACAATAATTAATGTATTATAGAAGCAGTGATTATGATAAAAGTATTTTTTATACTATAATAAAATAAGACATTTTCGAGCATCATAAAACGGTGCTCATAATTCATTTTTAAGAGATTTTAATTCAATAGTAAATATAAAAAAAGAAGAAAGAAGAAAGATTATTCAAGATTTTTTTATAATCGTTACTATTATGATGTATAGTAATTAATCTTTAGCACACATAATGATTTTCCGATTTTTTAAAATACAGTGATTCATTCATGTTAATTCGTTCAAGTTAATTTTCATCATTTTTACAATCATACAAAAATTGAATCTTGCATATTTTTGCATTTTGATATTTTTGAAAAAGTATAAAATTGTTTATTAAAAAAAAAGAGAAATCTTGACTTTTAACATCTACAGGTAAAAATCTTTTTGTTGTAGAATTTTAGAATTGTTTAGAATTTTATTTGAATTTTATTTTATAAGATGGTTGTATCGCAAAATGACTTTTCTTAAGATGTTTGAAACTTTTGCTAATTAAAGATAATGATATTTTCTATATATTTTAAGGGAGGAGGAGGGGAGATAACCCAGGCATGTTCGAAAAATAATTATTTAGTCAAATTCTCCTGCTCTTGTATTCTGTAACTTGTTATGCAATTATTATATGTTTATAACGATACATGACGAGTTATAGAATTCCTGCAGGCCCCCTATTTTGTATCTTGTAAATTTGTTTAAAGAAATTAAATTTTTTTTAAAAAGCATTCATTTTTAACAGATCGGATTTATTGTTACAATTACAGCAGAATGGAGATTTATTATTATAGCAAAATAATTTACAGATTTAATAAAATTGCTTTTGATAAATTAATTGATTTAATACCTTTTGTTCATAACTAATAAAATTGATTGTAGCATAAATATATAAGTACATTATATCAGTAAAAAATACGTTGCATCTAATTTCTGAATATTATTATGTTTCTTTCAAATTTTTACAGCTTATTTTTCCTAGCACTGTAAATATCACAAAAGGAGACTCTTATGATCTGCTGAAACCTTGGTTGGGCAATGGACTTTTAACATCTACAGGTAAAACAAAATCATATATTACTTTTATATTATTTTCTCTTTATATTACTTTATCTTATCTTCATATTACATATCTTTTTATCGTATGTTTAGAGTTTTACTTAAGGTGGCTGTATCGCAAAATGAGTTTTTTAAGATCTGTTTGAACTTTTACCACTTTTACTACTTTTAATTAAAGATAATGATATTCTTTGTATATACATTTTAAGGATAGAGGGGAGGGGTAATCAAGCATGTTTGAAAGATAATTGCATTTGAAGTTAGTACTTTTAACATATGCTATAGATAAGGAGCTCCCTGTGCTAGACAAAGAGCGACAGTATATTTCAATTATAACGCAAAAACGGTATTTAGAAATTCGTTCAAAAATTAAGGGACTATAGATAAATATTATACGAATCTCTGAAACCGAAGAAAATGGGAGGTAACTAGACAAATATTAATATAAAACCTTAGAAAGGTTTATTACTTACACTCACTTCGCTAATCAACTCATTCTCAAATACCGATGCACAATGGAGAAATAAAAATTGTTAAAAAATTGCAATCTGTAACAATTTTTGAACAGTAATTTTTCTTCATCACTGCGTTGGCGCTTCGGGCGATACTGACCTGTTTCGCGTTGTGAAATTGGTACTGAATCTTTCATTATTTAACACACTTTATGGAAAGAGAAACATAAAGTATGTTAAACAAGGAAAGATTCAGTACTAATTTCGCGATGCGAAAGTCAGTATTCATAATCGATTCTTGCATATAAGACTGTCTTAAGTACAATCTTAAGATATCATAAATCAATCCGAGGACTGTATTATCATCTTAAGACATTATTTAAAACTATTTTAAAATAAAAACGGACTGCCTTATATATGAATATTACCCTATGTTTAGCGTTTCACAGTTGGCAGCCTTTTTCCTGACGCGATATTTATTTATAGACAGAGACAGCGAAGATTTAATGGTCAAAGTATCGCTACAAATGTTTTGAAGCATTTGATAGACCAATTAGAAGAACGAATTTTACAAACTGACCAATTAAAAAACGCTTAAAGCGTTTGCAGCATCGCGTTGACCATACCCTTAGAGAAAGATGCTTGCAAATTAAGCACACTATGTTATCTCTTCCATCATGATCGTAGATACGTTCGACAATATAAATCTGAGATACGAGTTAGCAGATGGCAAGCTTGATCACGTGATCTTTGAACAATCCGAGTGCCAAGAATTAATTCTGAATGCTACTGTAAATTGTCCTTTAAGGTTAGATTATAAAATGAAAATATTTATTTTTATGAATAAATAATATCCTATTAATTAAAAATTTCTTTCGCTTTACTAGAAACTGATAATAGTCTTAAATCTAAAAATAGATCGTTACATGAATATAGCAGATTCATATGCAAGATGTGTTTTCTTAAAAGAAAATATTATATTGCAAAATAAATTTCAGCAATTTATAAGTTATATTACTTAATTTATTCGTTAGAATTTTTAATATATTAATATAATTTGATTTTATTTCATTCTATATGTGCAAGCTTTGATCTAAAAATTAACTAGCAAATTCTTTGTTTTTAAATACGTAACTTCAAATTCATAAAGAGGAAAAGAATTAAAAATTTACTTTCCTCGTTAAATATTGTACATAATGTACTCCATCAATTTCTATTTGATAGCATTTGTTTCAACGTTTATAGACTCAGACATTATAACAGTTCACACTATTTGTAAAATAGAAGAGATGAATGTACATTATGTGTTAACGAATCAGAATCATGTTTATATCATCATAAATATACAGGTTATGAATTTAATTTAGGCGCGAAAATCTGCGAGCTCGGTCTTTGAATCCGGAATGGATCGAGCAGCTCGGTTGATTCTAGAAATGTTAATACCGAACGCAGATGAGATGACATTTAGCAGAAAGATACGAGTTGCCGAATGATTTTAGAGGATAAAAAAGTAAACAGACGCTTCCGGCATTGCAAATGCACCTCGTATCTAATAATAAGTAGTATGGTCGACAAAAATGAGAGAGAGAGGGATCGTGGAAGACCAATCTCCCTCTCATTCTCTTTTTTGTTATTAACTTTGGAAAGATATAAAGATTAGTCTTTTACGATCTTTCTTTCTTTTTGTCGAATATACTACTTAGATATGATCGAGCAATCCATGCTCTATGTCTTTGTGTCGACTGCTGGAATAGCACTGTTATAGCAATATGCGGCGCAATTCGTTGGCATGATGATGACGGATGTAAATTCTGTACATAAAGTATGCAACATTTAATGCAAAGCATGAAATAATAGATAAATATTCACAAAACATTGAAGAATGAATTTACTAACTTCACAGCAGTCGATAAGAGTCAATATTGACAGTAAATTTAATATAGTTACTACGAATTGCTCCAGTCAATTAGAGAACTACATGGATCACGTGATACTTTCCGAATCTCTGTTACACTATAGAGTCTGTACCGATGACTATGCGCACGCACGCACGCACACACGCATGTACGCATATAATGTAAATTGATACAATTTGGAACATAGAACAATTTCAAACAAAATAAAATAATCCAATTTTCAAGATTTAATTTGATCTCTGATCTTATTACATAGAGGATATTGAAGGATACTAAATAGGAAAAAATCAAATTTAAACTTCAAAAAAGGGAATTAAAATTTTATTTTGTTTTGTGCTAAATTGTACTTCACCTTCAGATATACATATATAGAATGGACTATTTAAAGTGTTATAAGTAGCTGTGTGTTATTCCTAAAAGTATTCGTTGAATCAAAAATATGTAAACAAAAGTTTTATGATTCGAGGGTGACATAAGATGCGGTTTGAGCTTATGTGACGTTGTCAAGATCACTTTGAATTTTTTAAATGGAACCCCCAATTTTTCATTATATATTCTTGTAACTTATCTCGAGAGCTTTTCAAAATAATATAATAAAATATTTTTTTATTAAATATTTTTCGAGTTATAAGGCTTGAAACTTACAGGACCGCCGCGGTCTTAACATTACTCAAGATGTCCGACCGACGATTAAATGTTGAATGTTGTTTAGGATTATGATCTAGATAACATTTGTTAATTGGAAACTTTGTTTTCACTGAAATTTCATTTTTACATAAAAATGAAAATAAGAGATATAGCTTCCAATGATCTTAAGTTTGACAAATGTTATCTAGGTTGTGATCCTAAATTTAACATTCAAATAAACATTCAAGAAATTTTAATCGTTGGTCGGACACCTTAAGCGCATTCTACAATGCAGTAGTAAGACTGCAATAGTAAGAGGGAGTAAAATATAGCGTAAAGCATTAAGACCGGGAGTAAGCGAAATAGTTATTCTCATTTCGTACGCCTTATTACTTTACTGCCAGCCAAGCAAAGCTTATTATGAGATAAGGCGCGATAAGGCGCGCAAGAACTTCTTACTTTCTACTGCTTACTATTATTGTAGAATGGGCTTTAAGTAATACTGATGCCGGCGGGACAGTATTAACTTTGAAGCCTTATAACTTGAATCAAAAAGTGTTTAATGAAAATATATTTTATCATAGTGTGTGAAAAGCTTTCGAGTTCTTGATAAGCTATAAGAATATGTAACGAAAAATTGGAGTTCTATTTAAAAAATTCAAAATAATTACTTATTCTGATCTTGATAACGTCACCCAAGGTCAATCTTATGTCTCTCTCTCGAAATCAAAAACTTTTATCTAAACATATTTTTCATTCGATGTATACTTTTAGAGATAATAGCTTGTAACACTTTAAATGCCCCACTCT